AGTGCGTAAAGCTAACATTCTCTAAAGCTAACAGTGCGTAAAGCTAACATTGTGTAAGACTAACAATATGTAAAGCTAACATTGTGTTAACAGCGCAGAAAGCTAACATTGTCAAAAGCTAACGGTGCGTGAGGGTAATGGTGCATAAAGGTAACATTGCGTAAAGCTAACAATGTATAAAACTAACATTAGTTGAAGCTAACGGTGCGTAAGTCTAACGGTGGTTAAAGCTAATATTTTGCTAAAGGGGCCTAAAGCTAAAAGTAAAGCACATGGTTTATGAAATTGACTTTTACTTTTAAAAACGTGTTACACACAAACAGCTGACAACATCTAACAATGACGGTAAAAATACGACTGTAGTTTCCATGGATACCAACCATGAAGGGTGGAGCAATATACCCGTTGAAGCATTTTTCCGGAGGATTCCAGCATGTTTGCTAAATCCTTAAATTATATCCATCATGTTTAAAGTGTTTTATACGGAAGAGGATTAGGGCCAGTGGAAAAAAAAAAAAAAGTTAACTGATTTTTAAATTTTATTTCAGTTTAGTATGGGGAAAAAAGTCAGAATTCTGAGATTAAAGTCAGAATTCTGAGATTAAAGTCAGAATTCCCATGTTAAACTGAAATAAAATTTAAAAATCAGTTAACTTTTTTTTTTTCAGTGGCCCTAATCCTCTTCCGTAGTTTAAAAACCAAATGTAGTTTTTAAAGAAGAAAAATTATATTAGAGAATTGTTTTAAAAGGGACCTACTTTGTCAGAAGTTTAAAGTGGGTGTGGCCCCTGGGGGCCTTTAGTGGGCTCTGTACCAGACCTTTATGGTTAAAGACAGAGATTTGTTCTTGTTTAATAAATAAAAAGCTTCAGGTTGATGTTAATGATGTTCCAGGTTTGTCTTATCGTTGGTCTGCGTTACTGGTTACGGGTTCAAAGCTAAGACTGTCTGTCTCTGACCTTTAAATTTCCCCACTGTGGGATGATGAAATAATATCAGAATAAAATACCTTCACTGCATGAATCCTCCTGTTCCTCTATCTCTTTAAGCTCCTTTTAAATCCTTGGTTCCCGCTCGGCACCAACGGTGGATTTGGACCCGGCAGTTAGCTCCATCAGGCTTAGGTAAAGCTAAAAGCCGCTCCTGTGAAACCTCTAATCCGTCCGCCTGAAACACGACGGAGCTGGGAGGTGAGAGTGGGCCTCATCGAGTCTTTAACATCTAATCAGCTGAAAGCTGGGAGCTTCTGCAGCACATGGACATCCCATCTGAAGGCCTGAACCCTGTTCAGCACCTACAGGCGCTTTCCTTTTTAGTTTTATTGATCAATATTGGAAAAAAAAGAATCTCTGCAAAGCCAGAACTACCAGGACGATGGTCCTGATCATCTCAGGACCTTAATGGGGCAAAATTATAGAGAAACTTTTTCAAAAAATGTTATTTTGGCATCAAAACTTCATATAAAATTCTTCGACATTATTGTCTGTTCATGTTTGCTTTACTTTGCAGCTCCTTAATTATTTATAGTGAGCTCCATAATCACTTCACTCCCTTGCTATAAACCAACCATGGATGACTCAGCAAAGTTAGCATCACATCTAGAAGATGTGACGATCCAACAGCAGCTTTGTGTAAAGCAGCTAATTATTTTATAGGCTACGTTTGCCTTCAAATGTATTGATTTTAATGATTGTTTTTTACTCTGTTTTTAATGTTATGGTCTTTTAACCTTTGTTTTAATTTTCCCTTTTTGAACTGTAGCACTTTGAGATTTGAATTCAAATGTAAAGTGTGTTACAAATAAAATTCATTATTATTAGTAGATTTCAGACGACCTGAGGAGGAAAGCGTTCAGCAGAAATGGTTGCTGTTTCCACACCTGCCCACAGGGGGCGACAAAGGGGTCATTTGTTCCCAAGCCCAGGATAGAGGGGCCCAAAAAGTAAATGTCAAGTAATTTTTCAGAAAATATTTGTGATAAAAATATTAAAGTATCTAAATATATACATATATGTGTTTTAGTAATATGTAATATGTTTTCTTTAAATAAAGGGCCATTAGAACTCCCCCCACCTCAACATAAAATGGTTTGACCAGGACAACGACGGCTAACTAAGACCGTCAGGTTTTCAGAAGGTCGGCGCACAGAAAAAAAAAAGAAAAAGGGAGGATGACACCGAAGGCTGGAGAGATTTTAGGAGTAAATATTAAAAATAAACTGAGGATGAGTGAAAGCTTAACTTCCTGGACAAATATATTCTGATGCATCTGTTGAGAAATAAAATCGTTTTTAGAAACGCCGTTGGTATTTAATGCTTATGGGACTAGTTATTAAATATCCTTCTTCACTGATCTATGCTGTTTAATTTAACAGAATTCTATTTGGGGGAATTATGATGCTGAAGCATTCGAGCAGCACTTTTAGTCTATTTAAATTTATTTTATTGTTATTTCTTTTTCTTCATTTTCAAAAGGAAATTTCAAGCTGTTTTGTAGAACAAACTTCATGGCCTTCATTTAGCTCCGTATCATCTAATGTTATTCCTGGAGCTGCTCCATTTCTTTCTCAGGCCTTATTTTACT